AATAAATTTAAAACCACATTGAATGTTACATAGTTTAACATACAGAGGGAGTTTAAAACATATATAAAGCTTCAAGGTCAAAAATCAAGGGAAGTTTTACATTGTTAAGTAGGTCTTTGTTCGAAAAAGCTTTATTGTAGAAAATGAAGAGTATCCTGGATTACATGAAACTTGTACTTTTATGCTTTTATGTATTTGGGGTTTTATTTATTTCTTTAAAACTAGCAGTAATAAATAAAAGAGTTTTTAAAAATATTGTTATATTGTTTCATTTTTATATATAGCACTTTCAGTGTGACCCGTCTAGTTTACAAGTTCATCCTCTGTTGGAGAACAGTTAGACCTTTCTGTCATTCACAGGCAACAATATTCAACTTCTGTTGGAAAATCGCTGCATTTTTATGTAATCTATCGGCATAAATAAGATACATTCATCTCTCAGCTTTCTTTATGTGCTGATTTTTTTTTTTACGTGAATGGTACACAAAGAAATGCTAGCGGTCTCATGTCACATTTGAGTACACCTCATCTAAGTGTGCACATCTCTGCAGTAGACTTTACCCCCATCTGCTTCAAATAGAGGCTGTTACCAGTTGAGACTGCAGTAGTTGTTGGAAATAGGTTGTTGCTGTTTTTCACTGTTGGAAACACATCAGTAACATTAATTATACCTGTTGTTGTTGTTTTTCACTGTTGGAAACACATCAGTAACATTAATTATACCTCTTGTTGTTGTTTTTCACTGTTGGAAACACATCAGTAACATTAATTATACCTCTTGTTGTTTTGAAACGTAATTCGTTTTCTTACATACATTTCAATGGAAGAAAGAAATATGAGGTGTTTAAATGAAAGTGAGTTTTGTAGTGAACTTTACGTTTAAAATGATTCTTTTACGTTACTAAAGTTAACTTAAGAAAAGTGTAGTGTTTAAAATATGTAATTGTCTTTATTTTCTAGTTTACCGTTTGTGAGTGTTTTGATGTAGCCTAAAAAAAGATGGAGGTATAGTAACTCAAAGAATGTGTTGTTTTTTAATTGTAAAACTATGTCTTTGTAGGATGTTACAAGGAACCACGGAGGAAGCTGATAGTTTAAGTAAGGGTGGACCCCAGTTTGCAGAAGTGTTTGTTATTGTTTGGCTTGGTGCTGTTGTTGTGACATTGAACTCCAAACTTCTTGGTGGTAAAATGTAAGTTGAGAAACAAACTTTTCTAGAATTTTCCACTGAACAAATCTTGTTTGTGCTAAGTTGTGATTACTAGTAGCTAATGAATAGAATTTTTATTAACCCTATCCAGTCGGGTCACGGTCAAAGGCCATGTCATCACATTTGTTGACTCGTATTCACAATTTTATTGAACTACTATTTCATGAATTTATGTCAGTAAGTTTGGTATCGAACTGTAGATTATAATTCAGATATTAGTATATTATACTTTATACATTATTAAAAGTAGAAACATAACCACCTAAAATTTCTACAGTATAGAAATCTATGTTTCAACTTTTAAAACTTAAATAACTTTAAGGGTAACTACTTTCCCACAACTGGCTGCAGACAGAGATAGGCAATAGAAGGTGAGTTGTTGTGGGTTTAAGCACTCACCTCTTCACCCTTGTTTTGATTTTCCATGATGGTCAACTTGTTTTACTTCGGCATTTTGGGTTTTGCTTTTTGGGTGCTATTACCTCAAGCTTTATCCCTTTATGACTATGGATGCCTGACTCGGAGCAAAAGTAGATGCATTAAATGATTTTATATATATGTATAATTGTACAATTCTACAGAAAATAGTTGCAAGGCCTTTCTGGATGAGTGTAGGCAAAAATATGCAAGAAACTTTGAAAGTGCACAGATTTTGGTGCCCCACACCAAATTAAAGCATTCTTTATGGTATTTTTAATAGAACTGAAAGGTGAAGATATGTTGGGCCAAATATGAATGATGTTTGTGTGTATACAGAGGTTGAGTAGGTTATATTAAAATACTTTTGAATATGCTAATCAGCAAACTATGTGACAACCACAGTCATTATAAAGTTGTGATGGAACAGAATGTATCAGAACTACTTTTTGACCTTGTTTGGTATCTCTTAGATAGTATGATGCCACTGAAAATTGATTGTTTTTAGGAAGGGGTTTTGTGTAAAATATCATCTCACTCAGATCATAGAGATATGTTCGGATCAAGGATTTAGGGGTTCTTATGTTAATATTAAAGACATCTTATCTGGAAAATATGAACATTATATTGAGTTCAGTTTTTGTTATAACAGAAGTTCCAATGCCTTTATGACAATTAATTTCTTGTAGTAAACTTTGAGCAAATTTGACTGGCAGCAGTATGTACTATGGTCTCAGTTGTGGTCCATCATGTTTTGTATAGTGTAGTGTGGTCTCAGTTATGGTCCATTATGTTTTGTATAGTGTACTATGGTCTCAGTTATGGTCCATTATGTTTTGTATAGTGTACTATGGTCTCAGTTATGGTCCATTATGTTTTGTATAGTGTACTATGGTCTTAGTTTTGGTCCATCATGTTTTTTATAGTGTAATGTGGTCTCAGTTATGGTCCATCATATTTTGTGGCTTGTTCTTTTATTGTTCAATACCAACTTCTAAGTAGTTCAGAAGAAAGGGTGAACTATTACAAAAAATAATTAATCATGTCACTTGAATTGTGATAGGTTTTAGAAATGTTGATTTATAAACAATGTTCTGTTTTTTAAGAAAGTGATTTTTGCTCAGAATGTTGTATTTAAATATTAATTTCCTTTCATTATTAGAGACATAAAACTGTTTTTGTAGAAAAGATGATACAAAGTTAAAACAAACAATCATCAATGATACTTGTATATTGTCATCTGTGAATGACAACAGATGACACGTTTTATCGATCCTTACCTTCCAGATCATCTGTTTTGTTAAACAACTGACACTAATGAGTTGTTTTTTTTAAATTCCAGTTCCTTCTTCCAGAGTGTCTGCGTATTGGGTTACTGCCTGCTTGCTCCTTGTCTATCACTAATAATTTGTCAGTTGATACTGTTAGCTCCTCAGCAGACCGTGGCCTTGTTCATTATACGTTTTATTGTTACGATGTTTGGATTTGCTTGGGCTACATTTGGTAAGTAGTAATATCTCACTTATCTGTAACAGGATGAGTTTTATATGAGAATTCTTACTACAAACATTCTTTAATGACTTTGCGTGTAGAAATATGTAACCTGGTGTTTGTTGGATCACTTGTGAATTCGAACAGATTCATAATTAAGAAAATAAAATCCAAGCTGCATGTACTACTACTAACAATAAAATTGGTAACTAGGTGGCTTAAAACCATACAGACATTATATGTAGAAACTTTAATGTAAAAGCACACACTAATATTTGATTGATCTTTATTTGTATGTTTTTTCTATTGTAGCTTCTACTGCTTTTCTTGGAGACAGCCAACCACCGAAGAGGAAAGCTCTTGCAGTTTATCCAATATTTCTGTTTTATTTTGTGATAAGTTGGTTAATAATTTCACATTCCCCATGATTAATTAAAATCATGAGATCTCTAATGAAGAAGATTACTAAAGCCATGAAATTGAGAAATTTTGGTGTATATTTATGCACAAGACTATCGTGAGGTTGAGACACTATAAACGTATTGAGAAACGTTAGTCAAAAGCTACAAATAAAACTTTTAGCACCATTTAGTGGTTTGGTTTTTACATTCTGTGAGCAAAGATAATGATTTTTTTTTGTCATGGAGAGGGTTTTTTTAATTGTAGCCACTCATGTTCTTTCATTTAGTCATCACCCATTATGGAATTTGTTAGTTTGTGAGGAATGGTTTTGATTAATTTATTGTTTTATTTTGTTGTTCATGATTATTATTCTATGCTGACTGACTTATGTGGCAAACCAGTTAAAACAATATGTTCTACAGTATGTGTTCAAGCATTAATCTGTAAGAAGTTTCATTACACACTAGTTGAAACTCATTTATTTAAAACCACTGTGTTGAACAGAAACAACTAAATAACAAAGTACAGAATGATTTATTTCTAGTTATCCACCTAGCTCAAGATAAAAGTGACAAAATTATAATGTGAAGTGGACAAATTACCAAGATAGTTCTAACCCTTTACTATCTAAGCTTGAAACAAAAAATAGTGTGTTAAATTAGACCGAATCTCCTTTTTCTGTTTGTAGTACTACAGTTTTGTGAATGTGGAAAAAGAGTTCTTGGTACGAGTGTCTCGTGTAGTTTGGCCTAAGGGTAAGAATGTAAAGTATCCATTTAATTGGCCCCGTTTAGCTCCTTCCATTTGAGGAAATGTCCGGAAAATTGAAATTAAAAAAGTTACAAAAATAGGGAAAGTAAAAAATATCCATAACTTTTTTTTCCCATGTTAAATATTGTTTCTTGGGAATGATACATTTTTAAAATAGATTATGTAACATTGTTGTTTTCTTTCGTGTTATATTTGATTTAATATTTCTCAGCAAATTAAATGAACCCCGTGTTCTTTAGATTATGAAGTTCTTATCCTTATTCTTAGTCAAATAACAACTTTTATTTATTTTTTTAACTGTAAATAATGAAATATCACATGTTAAAAATATAAGTATGAAGGATAAATTTAAGGAATAGAATAGTTTCCTCTGTATTGTTCATATAGAAAAAAGAATAAATATTTTTTGTGCAAGACACATTGGAAAGATTTTATTTTTTTATCAACAATTGATGTTATTTTCTGACATGTTATAATTTTAAAAAAAGTTACTTGTGTCATATATATTTGTGTTATTTAATGATTAGTGAGCATTTTTATAACTCTAAAAGGTGACAAGAAAGTTCGACAAAGTTATCCAGAAGTCATTCTAAGATTTTAGTAGTTTGATTGCAGATTTGTTAACTATTTTTCATTGTGAAAGAGAATTTGATGCACCTCAGGTTAAACTGTTAGATTCAACATGCTGCTTGAAATAGTTGGTACAAAGAACTGTACAGAATGTATAGTAACAGCTTTCCATCACTTATATAGATTCTGTAGAGCTGTAACTTTGAGGTCTCTGGCATGAATGATGATAGGTGTGTAAACCCATCCAGTCGTGTGTTAGAATAAAATGAATGACTTGCAGTTACCATGATGCAATTTTTTATCTTCAATGTATCTCTTACAAGTTTGTTATTATATGTAAGGTAATTAAATCTTAACAGTTCCAGAACAATCACTAGTAACAATCTTAACAGTGTTCAATAATAATCACTACTAATAATCTTAACAGTGTTCGATAACAGTTGCTACTAATAATCTTAACAGTGTTGTTATTAGCAATTGTTATCGAACACTGTTAAGATTAAGTAACAATCTTAACAGTGTTTGATAACAATCGCTACTAATAATCTTAACAGTGTTTGATAACAATTGCTAATAACAATCTTAACAGTGTTTGATAACAATTGCTACTAATAATCTTAACAGTGTTCGATAGCAATCGCTAATAACAATCTTAACAGTGTTCAATAACTAGTAACAATCTTAACAGTGTTTGATAACAATTGCTAATAACAATCTTAACAGTGTTTGATAACAATTGCTACTAATAATCTTAACAGTGTTCGATAGCAATCGCTAATAACAATCTTAACAGTGTTCAATAACAATAACTAGTAATAATCTTAACAGTGTTCGATAACAATTGCCAATAACAATCTTAACAGTATTCAATAACAACTACTAGTAAAACATCAGAAGTTCTTAAATTCAATCGTCATGGTTACGTAATTTAAACATGTTTCACACAAAGAAACTAAAACACGTGACGCTGGTAACACGTAATGAGTTCTAGAAAGATCGGGGAACATCACGAATAATCCAGTATTTGCTAGGCGCCCTCTATTCTTGTATAGACAATTAATCGGAATTGTATAGCAGACAGAGAGATTGAAGATATAGACGGACAAGTGAGTCAAGCGTGGTAGTAAGTAAAGTGCGCGAATCGTTCGTTGTAAATTATAGCGTGTGTTTAAGTTAAGGTGACTGTGGAAGTTAAGTGTATTGCAAAGTTGAATTGAGAAAGAATAAACTAGTTTTTCTTAAGAAAGGACTTGTATCGCTGAAGTTTTTCGGAAGGATTTTTTACGGAAAATTAACAAACGAGTAGAGACGTAACAACTACTTACTGTGGTGGTTTGGCATGGCCTAGTGGTTACCATGCAGGACTGTGGTGTTTTGTGTTACTATAGTAATAAAAACGTTTATGATTATTTATGTTACGAAAATAAAATTTTAAACTAGCAGTGATTTTTTTTTAGTACTATAACTGTATCTCAGGGTAACAAAATACAAAAAATATAGTGGTGGTGAAAAACAAATTCGTTAATTTGCTTAAAATCACGAGTTAAAATGATAGAAATGTTTTCTTCTCCCTAACAAAAAGTCACGCAATAGAGGTTTAAAAATCTCTCTCTATAATGGCAGTACTTGAATATTGGCATAGTTTTCATTGTAAGAGAGGTCTTGACGTTTCCTAGGCCTATTGTTATTTCCATGCAAAGATGCACAAGAGCTATCTTGAATTCCCTCAATACAGTATAGCTTGGTGACAAGTGATAAATCGGATGATAGATTGGGCTTCATATGTAGTTTTTAGTAGCCGTTGCTAGGGGTTATTATTTAGTTTAGATGGTTAAGTGCTTGTTTGCTGGAGTAAAAGGTATTGGGAGGTGAAAATATTTTAATATCATAAACTAAGAGCATATGAGATAGGTGAATTTTTTTTTCAATTTTAGTTCGGTATAGGACAAGAATTTTAATTGTTTTAACCTAAACGTTAGATGTGTAGGAGATAATTCAAAGCGATCATGTAGTCATATTGCTTGAAGCCTTTTTATTAGGCCTAACATTCAAGAGATGAGTGCAAAGTTCATTTAATGTATTATAGGGAACGTTTTTAAATATACCCATACATTTTCATGCACTGATGTTGTTTGCTCAATTTCATGCAAAGTTCTTGAGGTCTTTCTGCGATCCCTAATTCTGAAATGATAGAATAGAAGGAAGAAAGTTCTTCAACACTGCCAACTCGTGGGATACTCTCGTCGAATAGTCACTCTCATAACGCACCCACAGATCCAAAATGCGGAGCTTATTTTTATTTTTGAAAATAACGGGGCGCGAACCTCGGATCCAAAGTTGGGATGAATTTCATGCAATCCTTTGGGCCACTTACAATTGCATGTTCAACGTGAAATACTGGAGAACCAAGGCATTAAAGCGTTAAAAGTTTTTAATTGTTCAATTACTTCAGTAGGCTTACACCAAAGTTAGTTACTGTGTAACTATAATTAGCTATATTTGAAAATCCAAATTAGCTGCTAATTATGTGATGAATGTGCTAGTGAAATGTTAATATTTCTATTATTTGCTACTAGATGGCGTTACTATTAAACATAAAAGTAAGTGATGAATATTGTTTCCGAGTGTATATGAACTAGAACTTAGGTCTTTGTTTACAAAATGGAAATAATTGATAAAAGTTGAAAATTATGTAAAAAAGATGGTTCAAAACAAAGTTCACCTCATTTCGTCATGTAGAGGTGTTTACGGCTATTTTGCTAGTATAAAAGGAATTAATTTTGTTATACTTTGATATAATGTTCTGTATAAACTTTCAATATTAAATGAAAATTAATTACCCGTAGTGTCGTAAACTGGCTCTCTGTAGTTTTAAAGCAGGGTGTACATTTATTAGGAATGGGTGGTCTGGAGTTTCACTTGACTGTGATTTACAAAAATTAAGAAACGTGCAATGAAGCTAAAGTAACTTATTCTAACGACACTCCTTTCACATAAAGCTAATATATTAAAATCTTCAACATTAACATATTGAAGTACGTTATTAACGAACGAAGTTCGTCCTATAGATACATTCGTATACCATTGAAAGTATTTTGCATATACTAAGAACTTGGATCTGCGCCATCTTGAATTTCAGTTCGTCGTGGCTTCGAGATTTCTAAGGTCTTGCAAGGATTTTTCATTTCAAATTCACCAGGTTAAAATCATATATCTTAAAACAGTTAAATTCAAAATATCAAACAAAAATTTTGTGGCAGTAATTACTTCAAATCTATTTTATAAAAAGAAGTGGACACCTCAATAAAATGCTGAAATTCCCACAATCCCTAACAAAGTGTGCGCGTGCTCAGCTTATTAGTATGCGTTGTCTGCAAGCCAAAAAATTTCGACTTGTGCGCTGTTGTTATTATATATTTGTGTTTTCCTTTATTCCAAGTGGGACAAAGTTCTTTCAAGTCTGATTGAATACTTCAAGCCTAAAGTTATACGTCGCTGGACTGATTCCTAGGATACTTTGTGATGTGAGTAGTTATTTATGTTTATTACTAATACTTTTGACTGCGTTTTTTTTTACAAGGCCTTGTGCTCTAGGCAGTTAGTCTTTTTTTTTTAGCTGGCCTAGACCTCATTATTCACTAGTTCATTGCAGAGTGGACCATCCGATAGGCCTAAGTGGTTCATTTTTAACACTCCCTTGGCCACAAAATATGATTTATTAGGGGTCTAGGCATAGCCCCTATCTACTTGACCCTTAGAAGACGAAACATCAGCTTAGCATATGCCTATGACGGTGCCACCAACAGAATAATATATATAAACACACCTAGGTCTAGGCTTAGTAGAAAAGCTAGGGTAGGAAGTGTTGTCTGTGGCGGCGAGAGGTGGTGACAGTGGTATATAATGCAGTCAGTGCGGCACACACAAGAAAATAATGTATTCGAGCGCAACTTGGTATTGATGGCTAAAAATTCAAGATCTTTTTACTGTTTTTTTCAACTTAGGCCTTTTTTACATAATATATAAAAGTAAAACATAAAAATGAGAGGGGTGGCATTCACTCCTAGATCCATTCTCTACACCTATTATCTCCGTAAGAAGGTCTACATAATGTACATAAATTTTCACGTGAAATGAAGGCCTTATAACATACACAAATTCTCATTCGTAATGTAGGCCATGTAATGTGTAGGTCACGTGGTACACTGCAGCCATTTTAGATCCAAGCTGCTGCAGACGATTAAATAGGCCTATTAGCAATAATGTTGTACGCTGAAGGAGCAGCGAAGAAAATGTGATTAACGCCGAAAAGGGAGAAAATGACAGATTTTGTGCATGGGGTTGCACCAACTGCACGGAAAATGGTTCAAAATTATATCGTTTCCCCTCAGATCCTACAAGAAGAAAAGTATTAGAAGCAAAGGTAAACTGATTGAAATGGGAAGCATCGTCATAATTGAAGCTTTGTGAGGTGAGTAGCTTATTATTAGGTCATAGACCTAGCCTAGCCTAAATTAACGTTAGACCTTGTGACTTGTGAGCGTCAAGTGGTTGTAACCTATAGTGATAAAATAGAAATTATCCAGCCTAATTAGCTTAAATTTAAAGTCAAGGTTTAGGGCAATCTTATAGAATCTGGCCTCTTATAAATGGGTGTCATACTCTTACAAATTTTACATAACTTTTGGATGGCATATGATATAGGACGTATCCTAGTCTAGGCCTTGTCCAGAGCACGAAGGAAGCAAGAAATTGAATTAGGAAAATATGGTGGGGAACTAGGAAATAAGAGTATGACAGTGAGGAAGCTTCTTCAGAAGATCAAATGATTGTCAAAAGACAGCGCCAAGACAACATTTTTAGTTTGGATTTAGGCGATCAAAAAGGCTAATATTTTAAAGAATGATTTTTTTATTTGTTAATGTAGATCTGTGAAATTTATGCTTTTACTAATCAGTTTTATTAACATAAATGGTACGATGTGGAAAAACTATGAGTCGCGGGGAAAATATCGCAAACAAATGGCAAATTATTCAAGGAATAGGCAGTTCACCCTTCGCCCAATCTCCCCCACCCCCTGTACCCTGGTTACTCTTCTAACAGATCTTTTGCATTTCACGTGAATCCACTTTTTTGACCGACATTAAGTAACGAATAAATGTGAATGAGGATGCAATTCCTTGAAATACCAAATTGTTCCTGTTTATGATATTTTGACATATTTACACCGAAAATATGCCGCAAAATCGCGTTAAATCTAACTTTGCTACCATTTACAACACT